TGCTAAAGGAGACGCTGAAAATGATGAGGAGATGCTGAAAATGATGCAGAAACGCTGAATGATGAGGAGACGCTGAATGATGAGGAGACACTGAAAAACAATGAGGAGATGCTGAAAATGATGCAGAGTAGTTTGCATCTGCACACTGTATACCAAAAAGGGAAGCCTGTTATTTTTATTCATGTGTCAGAGGAAGAACATACAATGTTATGCTGTTATTTGCTAAAAAATCTATAGCAATATTGTTGATATTTGTGATGGAATATGTTGTAGCAACGCTGAAAAACATAACGGATTAGAAAATCTGCGGCATTGTTGATACGTGTGGGAAAATTTGGTATAGTGATGATGCTGTAAAACATAATGAATTAGGAAATTTGGCAGTAATAGTGTTCATAATACTCATGATTGTAGTAAATATATCAAATGTCAAAAAAATTATCACTGCGATGAGTGTTATTAATATTAAAAATGAATTTATAAAGCTGAAAGCAGAAATAAAGATATCGACAGTCTAATAAATAAATGCAATAAAATTAAATATAAAACAACTTTTGAATGGATCTCTTTTGACAGATTTACCAATGTTGTATATCGATATCTTGCAAAAGTAGGTTTTGGATTAATTTATAAAGCATGATAGTTGGATGGATCACTGAAAAACTGGGATCATATAGAAATAAATTTATCCAATTTAGTATGTTGAGTTGTGTTAAAATATTATATACAATTCAAAGCAAATTATATCTGAGTTTGTAAATGAGGTAAAAATGAATAACTTTTAAAGTGTAAGTATATCACCTTTTTTTTTCGATATAAATAACTTTCAAAATTAGATTCAGACTGCTCTAAAGTGCACTGATGATATATTACTTATTATAGGATAACTAAAACTCCAGCTATAAGTGAATACTCGATAGTGATAACTGATACAAAAGATAGTGAATATGAATTCCAACTACCAAAAATTAACTTGGAAAGATAAATTAAAATATTTAACTAATATTATTAAAAGTGTTCACAATATTCTAGAAGATCACTATAATATAATACTTACTATAGTATATTAAAAATGCAAAATATTCAGTTATCATTCCTTCTTAATATAGACAGAATAGAGAAAATTCTCTAGCAATTATTTTGTTTTCAGGAATGTAATTCCAATATTTTTCAATAATAAACTTGAATAATTTAGAAATATTATTTGAAATTATAGGTCCTATTGTTACTAAAGTAGTATTAATCTTTAATTTCATAATTTTAATTCTCAATTTTTAATAAAAATCTTTTCATAATGATCTATATAAAAATTCCTTCAAAATTGATTTCTTGTATAAAATCAAATTTAGTTAGGAATAGATATTACCTTTTTCTTTTATTATATTGAATTATAATCGTTCTTTTATATAACGTATATAATATTCATTGAGAAAGTAATAATTATAATAATTAATTGAACAATTGAAAGTGTCAAATAATAGTTAATATATATAATAGTAATAGTAATGATAAGAATTATTAAAAGAATAATTCTGACAATCATCTGGACAATTGAAAAGTATTGACAAAATGTACATAATGATAGTAATTGTAAAAAAGAAATCTAGACAATTGAAAGATAATCGAATAATTAGTATTTAGTTATATTATAAGAAACTATCAATATAAATTACTAATCTAAAATTAGTATAAAATTTATATATAGTATTTCACAAAATATTATATATTGTACAAAATTTTTGTGATAAATACAAACTTATCTAATATCATTATATGATTTTACAAAATATACAAATTTCACATAATTTCACATAATATTAAATAATTTCATATGATTTTGTAAATCTATAATATTTTTGGATAAAAATAAGATGTGAAAAAATTGTTACTTTAGCAAATTAATTAATATTTATTATTTTAATGATAAATATTTAATAATTAGAATATTTTCAAATTAAATTCAAAAATAAAGCATCAAAAAACTAGTTCAATAACAGTTTATACATGACTTAAAGATTATTATAAAGTATTTCATATTGATAATGAATTATTTTTTTATAATTATTGTAATCTTTCAGTAGAATGAAAGCACAAATTAACAATAGATGCACATTGTGCAAGTAAAAAATATCAATTACAAAAAAAAATTTATAAAAAAAATGAACAAATTAAAAGTCAACAAACTTTACAAATAACTTTATATATAACAATATGCTAATATTCTCTTAGAAAAAGTTAATTACTTACTTCACTTTTTAAAAAAACGTCTTAAAGAAAGAGGTGCAATTTTACAAGTATCAACTTTATGTCAAATATATTTATCTCAAGTTTTTAATAAATATATCAATACTTTAAACTCAATTTATAATTCTAAATCAGTTTGTATCATTATGGATGAAAGTAATGATATTTGTACATAAAGTGTAGTTAATACTTTTTTATATATTATTTATAAATTAAATTAATTTCAGTTAATTTTTTAGAATAAGTTAATAATTCAACTATTGCACAATTGCTTTTTCCTATATTACTTTTTTATAATATACTCTTAAATTTATCATGATTATTTCTTTCAGATTCTACAGCATATATGAAAAAATGTTATAATAATATTTTAAAGCTAATTATACCATAATTAATATATTTATCATGTTCTGTACATATATTAAATCTTATTAAATAAGTATTAATTAATTAAATAATTAATTATTATATGTATTTATATATATTAATTAAATTTATTTTATTTTTATATTTAAAATAGTGAAACTTAACAAGAATTTTCATGATTTTTGTTATTAAAAACTTTTTTTACTAATATTAAAGATTCTTTTGTTAGATCTTCTGCAAGAAAAAATTGATATATAACTCATTACGTATACATAGTATTACATCACCATGCAAAATATCATTACCAAACAAAACTCGATAGAATAGTTGGTTTAAAATGGTTTTTTATACTAAAGAACATCTTCAATATTGGTTGGATTTCTATAAGACTGAGTATGAAAATGATTCAAATCATGAGAAAATAAGTGCAATTTATTCAATTATGCAAGATAGAGCACAATTGGGAAAAATTATAATTTATATGAATTTTATGCCAAGATATTCATTCAAGACTTGGATTTTTTTTAACAACAAAAAAACCAGTTTTTCCATTTGTTAAAACATGATTTATGAATTTTGTAGCTTATCTTGAATCAAATTGAATTGTACTTCATTTTGGTATAGAACTTGATGAAATTATAACGTATTTTTTATTCAATCCATTAGATTTCTATTCTATTTTTTGAGTTATATTTCAAGCAGTATATGACAAATTCATCTTACATATTCCAAATCATCCTGCTCGTCCTTTATTTTGAATTACGTAACTTTTTGATCCTAAGTATATTCACATGGGAAGTATTTAACGATGCAATATTCATCAATATTCAATTATTAATGAATTTCAAAATCTCTCTGATAGTTTAATACACAAGTGGGGTATTTATTGTGAGTTGGAATTTGATAGAAGTACAAATGAAAGTGAATTAGATATATATTGGAATAGTTTAGCAAATCATTTACCAATTCTTTCTCAAATCACATTTGATTATATTTGGTTACCTATATCTAGCTGTGTCAATGAATGTAGCTTCTCTTTATATAATTCCCTTTTAGATAGTGACTGTCAAAATTTATCTAAAGAATCACTTAAGCAATTTAATATAATGTATTTTAATCGGGATAGTTGAGATTTTTTTGTGTTATAAAAGTTTTAATGTTATATATAACAATAATGATAATAAATAAAATATTTAATTACATGTACCGTGAAAGACCATAATAGGCAACTAATACAAATGATTATTATAGTATGTTCAAAATCGGATAATATCACAAATTTTCATTAAAGCGCCACAAAATTACACAAAATCCCTAAAAATTTATCACAATATAGCACAAGAATTGTTTGTAGTACACACAAAAATTGCCTAATATATGTAATCACCACAAAAAATCATCGTCCCTGGGGTGAACATATTTAACGCATCCCCAAATTTGGCGACGATCTGCAATACGATTTTTAAAATAGAATTTTTTTAAAACTTAATTTTCCATTATTTATTTATACAATTAATATTTCGTGGGATTGCCTTTAGCTTTTTTGACAGCCTCAACACGACGAGACATGCTTTTTATAAGATCATAGTAAATAGATTCATCTAATTTAAACCATTCATCCTCCAAAAAATTAAACAATTTGACCTCATTAGTTGGTAGTGGAGTACGTTAACAACCCGACGTTCTAGTTCATCCCAAAGATTCTCAATGGGATTGAGATCAGGACTCTGGGGTGGCCATGGAAGATGAGTTACATAATTTTCTGACATCCATTTTTGCACCTTCTTTGCCTGATGAATTGGCGCGTTATAATCCTGAAAAATATATTCATTTTGTTGGTTAAGATTTTCTAAATATGCTAATAAATGATTATATATAATTATTTGCATTTTGTCGTCCATCAAGTCGTATTATCGGACCCACACCATTTAAACTAAAACATCCCAAACCATTATACTTTCCGACCAGATTTAAATGTTGGTATAAGACAGTTTACATCATATTCTTCTTTAGAAAGTCTCCAAACATAACTACAGCCACCGCAAAACGAGATTCATCACTCCAAACAATGGAATTCCATTCAGAATTCCAATGTAGCCTTTCGTCCGTCCTTGCAAGACGAGTCTTTCACTAACCAATGGGTTTCTCTTCCAATCTAGGCAAAAATATCTTCAATATGAATATACCGTTGTATAGTACGTGTAGAAACTTCAATGGATGTAGATTGCAAAAATTCATTTTGTAAAACATTTAAAGTAACTTTTTTATCATTTTTGATAATACGAAATAAATGTCGCGTGTCACGTTTAGTTAAAGTAGGTGGTCTTCCGCTTCGAGCAGGAGGTTTTATTTCTCTAGAATTCTTATAATATGTAATTACATCTTAAACTGTTGATTTCGCGAATCCAAGTTTTTCTACGATAGTAGAAATAGATGTATTACACCGCCAAGCACCAACGAACTGACTTCGTTCACTTTCAGTCAGTTCTTTTCGTTTTTGCTTCATTGTGAAGCAATTACTAACAAAAACAAAAAAACAATTGACATGCTTGTAAAGTATGGGTTACAGATATACTAATTATATAAATCTCAAAAAATAATTTAACAATTGCATGAAAAGAACAATTTAATATTTTCTCTTGAATTGCCAAATTTGACCGTTGACCGGTGATTTTTGTCAAGGGAGTGTACGTTTGCGAAATTGTGATTTACTTGCTATGTTTATCAGTTATTTTTTTGAATATTTAATTAACTTCATTTACTGTATTAATATTATAAATACCTGCCTGTCCTGTTTTTCGTCAATTAAATTTATATTGTATTGGACTCTTTAATAAACGTGTAAAATAAACACATACCAAATGCACATTGAGAGTAATGTGTTCCTGTGTCACTTTTCATGCATAAATCGATATACAACCGGAGGTTCTATCGTTACGTACCGGTACATTGTAACAAAAGTGTAAAAAGAAAATAAAATAAAGTGAAATAAAGTGAAATAAAAATATTTTACCTCCCGGATCGCTGTACAATTATATATATATCCTTTCCATCATCACCTGGCGCTTGTCTATTTTTTTTAAAAAAACTTGTGTATAACAATCAACTTTCACACGTATAAATTGTCATTTTTATTTTACCATCATCTCAGATTTCAAGTAAAACACAACACATAAAGTGGATTTAAAGATGGAATCAAAGACTCATGATTGTAGTGAATTTTATCGTTGTTGAAACAATTATACTGCTGCGATGAATGTTCGGCACACAATATCCATGATTGTAGTAAATGCACTGATTGTCAAAAAATGTGATTGTCACATATCGATATGGTGCATAACATCTAAAGTCATCAAACGTTTGTATTTTATAAAATGTATAAACTTTTCAACTAAGAAGTAAATACAAAATTAATCCGTGAATATGATAGAATAGTCACTTTCTGAACATATTCACGGATTAAATTTTATATTTGTTTTTTAGTTGAGAAGTTTATACATTTTATAAAATACATGCGTTTGATGACTTTAGATGTTATGCATCATACGAATTTATAAGATAGAGCTAAATGGTCTAGCGCAAATAAGATATCGATTATCTAATAAAGTATGCGCAAAGAATGAATGAACATGATATATCCCTTTGAAAGATTTACTAATGTTAAATATCTTGCAAAAGGAGGCTTTGGATCAATTTGTAAAGCAATCTGGTTGGACGGAACCATCAATTAAGAGATAGAATTATGAAAATAATAAGCAAACTACGAGGTAAAAAACCCATTACTAAAGTGCAATCATAATACTTTTTGTTTGTAATACCATTAAGTTTTTCAAAAAAAGATTCAGACACTAAAGTGCACTGATAAGTTAATATGGAATAACCAAAACTCAAACAAGTGAATACTCGATCTTAATGATTTGTGCAAAAGATGGCGATCTCCGCAAATACAGTATATTATTGAAGGATTGAAAGAATTTATAAAGTATTGTGAATTGTGACTTACATTCCGAAAATATATTAATAATTTATGATGATACTCCTCAAATTGCCGAGTTTAGACTTACCAGCCCAGCAGATATAGAAAAATCTGATCAAAAAATTTGTGGAGTCTTCCTTATATGAGTCCTGAGGTACTAAATGGAAACCATACACTAAGCCGCAGATATTCATAGATTTGGGGTGATTACATACGAGTTTGTCACAGGTGAACGACCATTTGGTCTGAGTGCAATAGAAACGGTGTTATTTATATTAGAATTTATAATATAATTTACACCGTTTCTATTGCACTTAGTCCATTTAGTGGCGGTGTCATGTATCGATACATCTATAACGGAATGACCTACGATACCGAATAATATTACCTGATGGTGCAAATTTATTATGGAAAAATGTTGAGGAACCTGGTAACTTTCTCTACTCTATCGTTAATATATGTGGAATCCGAATAGTTTGTATTTTCAGTATTACAGTTCTCTAGAATCTTCTAAGACACGATAAGAAATTATTGAGTGTCTTGAACTAAAAATGCGAAAATTATTGGATCTTGGAGAGAAGATGAAATCGCAAAAAAGTATTCGTACAAATATAAACAAATATAAAAAACATATATAAACAAAAAAACAACAAATCCATCCAGCTGCAGTTTACACCAGTCGAATCATTATTAGGAAATTCCCAACCAAGACAGGTTAAATTAAATTAAAATTAATATCGAATGTTTAATGTTGACAAGCGTTTCAGGCGAATCGCTATTTTTGATCGACAAACTGTTTCCAAATTAGAGTTTCATTCTTATCTTTATACATGTAGAAGTTCGCTGAGCGAAACGTTTCGCACTTTTAGAAAATAGTTTCACCCGAAACACTATTCCAAACGAAGGTAAAAAATCATATTTAATATATTATTTATTATAAGTACATTAATTCATTATATTTTTTCTTTGCAAATAGATTTTGATTTTAGTATACCATACGAAATGGAGATATTTGCATAAACTACAAATTCACGACGAAACACTTCCGACAATGTCAAAAAAGAAAATGGGTGGTAACTACTTTTACTTTATGCTTCAATTAAATTTTAATTATCGTTGATTTAATTAAGAGTCTAAAACATAACGACCAAAAACAGTTTCTAACTTCTTGGAGTCTACGTATATCTTTTGTCGTCATATTTTTAGTTATTTATTAAAAGTTATCCTTTCTAAAATTATGTGAATTTAGTGTGTACAGGAACTTATTCAGTAATTTCGTTTATCACGTTAATACGCAAGACATCGTTGTAAAAATTAAATGTATTGATTTTGGTTAAGCATTGTTTCACGGAAGCTCTCTTTTTCAAACCTGCTCTTAAATATAATACACTCTACGTATGTCGTCTTTCATTTTTCATGCATCGAATTATCAGACACCTTACGTTACGCCTACAAATGTATTTAACGTATTTGGAGAGCCTTTTGTTATTTACACACATAAAAGGTGTTCTGTTTCACTTTTCATGCATAGAATCGGTTTTACTCTTCTTTAACACACAAATGGAAATAATAATGATAAATATAAATGCCCTCTCTTTTCTATGAATATACATATCGGAAGCTTTATAAAAGACATCTGCACTATCGGTCATTCTATGTGTGTGTACTTATTTACTTGTATTTAATAATACCTCTGTCCAGAGCTACCATTTACTTTTATCAAGCTTGACAGATACATATGATACATACATAGATGGAGAATAATAAGAGGATGCTCATGTCATATACGTATACCGATATGTCATATACGTATACAAGAATCACGCCATATATACAAAGTTCACGCCATCGTATACATGTACAATATGTAAACTGATGACATGAACATTGAACATCAAAAATTGTATTAGTTCAGGGGAATCTCATAGCAAGATATAAAAAGCTTTCAACTTACTCAGTTTTTAAATTGAACCTTTCGTTCCTTTTTTTTGAGAATTTTCACCTAAGTTTTTTATGAAATTCAAACTACCAACTGGAATGTAAAGCGTTATAAATAGAAGAAAAACAATGATTTCCCTTTATTTAGAAGAAACTTCCGCAAGATTTTAAAAGGATTTCAAAGATCTATACAAAAAAAATGGCGTACAACGAACAATAATATTTTTAATCAACAACTATATTGCTTCAGCAACAACAGCAATAAAACATGTAGATATGGTGAAAAGCATTATAACTGGAACCAGTAATATTTTTAATCAACAATTGCATTTCACTATGGTATTTCAAAGAAAAATCAATCTCTACTCCTCAGTTCGTTATATTTCTAAATTCCAATTTTCAAAATACTCTTTTTAGCTTAATAAACTTAATTTTGAAATGTGGCTAATCATTCAAAAAAAAGCGATTAGATTTAGATTTAAGTCCCGAGCAAATATAATTCTAAATCACAAAATCCTCTAACAAGCAAATCAACAACCGAATTTACAACCAACGAGTTGATTCCATATTCGATTTAACTCCGAGGATTGATATGCAATAACTCTAGTTCTAATGAAGAAACTTTTAAATGTAATGATCTGCAAGCTAACTAGAGTTATAAAATCTTAGTGGATCAATCATATGACGCTGCACTATGTAACGGTAAATCATTTAACATTTAAATTTATCTGATGTTTTTTCATTAATTGGTTCCTTTACGTATTTCTTTTACACCATCATGTATAGATTCATACAATGGACTGATATTTTAAGATGTTACCTGATGTCGATGATAAAGAATGGTATGCATGAATGAATTGAATGAATGGATGATAGATAGGTGGATTAATAGCATGATAAAAGAATGGTATGTATGAATGAATGAGATGGATAGGCCGATAAGTACCAGGGGAATTGCATTAAAAGTTTCAAACCTTCATATCTTGTTAGTGTAATTAATTCCCCTGATTTGTGGTACTCGCTCAGCGTATTGTTTATTGATCAACATCATATTGTCTTTAACTGTTACACCTTATTATAGTGGATACAAGTCATTAAACTGAAACTCGCTTATTTTATCAATATATTTCTATATCAACGATAGAATCTACTGCAAGGTCACCCACACATCCATTATGGTATGCATAAATGAATCAAATGAAGGATAGATGGATAGAAGATGAAATAGGATGATAATTATAAAAGAATGGATGATATAGTATGCATGAATGAATGAATGAATGAGATGAATTGACACGCCGATAAGTACCACAGATTAGGGGAATTGCATTAGAAGTTTCAACGAGACCTCCTTTCGTTTTGCTATAATAATATCGATATCTTCAAATCGAAACTTTTGTTTATTTCTGTTTATATCAGCACAACAAGCAATTAATAACAAAATTAACTGTAGCATAATCACGCCAACTATAATAAGGTGTAACAATTAAAAGACAACAGGATGTTGATAAATAATCAACACGCCCAGCAACTACCCAATTCAGGAGAAGGTTTCAACGAGAGTTTCGTTTTACTTTAATATCATTTAATTAAAACTCACTTAATTAAACTTACTTATTTTTATTAATATAACTCGAAATCAACAGTAGAATATACTGCAAGGCCCACACATCAAAGGATGTATATATATATATATATATATATATGGTATGCATGAATGAATTGAATGAATGGATAGATGGATAGACGATGAATTGATAGATGGATAGACGACAGTGATAAAAAGAATGGATGATATAGTATGGATGAATGAATTGAATGAACGGATCGATGGATAGACGACGAATTAATAAGATGGCAGTGATAAAAAGGATGGATGATATAGCATGCATGAATGAATTGAATGAATGGATAGATGGGTAGACGATGAATTAATAGGATGAGTGATAAAAAGAATGGATTATTTAGTGTGCATGAATGAATGAACGAATGAATTGACACGCCGATGAGTACCACAGATCAGGGAAATTGCATTCAAAGTTTCAACGAGACTTTCTTTCGTTTTGCTATAATAATAACGATATCATCAAATCGAAACTTTTGTTTATTTCTGTTTATATCAGCAACAACAAGCAATAAATAACAAAATTAACTATAGCAGAATCACTCCACTATAATAAGGTGTAACAGTTAAAAGACAATAGGATGTTGATAATAATTAACACTCCCAGCAACTACCCAAAATTGATTTCACTAACGAGACATGAAGGTTCAACGAGACTTTCATTTTACTATAATATCATTTAATTGTAACACGCTTATTTTTATTAATATAATTTTAATCAGCAGTTGAAACTACTGCAAGGCCACACACACATAAGAAGGAATTGAATGAATGAATAGATTGATAGGATGATAATAATAAAGAGTGGATGAATGAGATGAATTGACACGCCGATAAGTACCACAGATCAGGGAAACTTTCTTTAGTATCTTCAAATTAAAACTTTCGTTATAATAAGGTTACATATTTAAAATTACGAGCAAGCGTCACAAGTTAGGGGAATTGCATATGAAGTTTTCAACGAGAGTTTTGCTTTGATAACTTTGAATTTAAACTTTCGCTTACTTCTATTAATAGGGCTAATCAATTATACAAACCAGCAACAACAAAATCAACCACTGCTATAATTGGAAAGGATAGTATGCACGAACGAATGGATATATGGTAGATGGATAGCTGGGTAGATGGATAGCTGGACAGCTGATAGATTGATAATAGTCTATTATTACATAGTTAATAACATACATGACGCAGGCTTAGAATAATAAGTATAATAATATGTATGATGCGTTGCTGGATTATTATTAACCAATTTATCCACTGGTCAAAGGATTCAGGGCGAACATAGTAATATGTATATAAATACCATTACTCAATGTTTCAACGAGACCCTCTTCTTTCGTATTGCTATAATATCTTCAAAACTATGAGTCAAACACAAATTCCGCTACAAAATCAGCAAGCTAACCAGCAGCATAACTTACAGCAACAAGCAAACCAGCAGAATAACTTACAGCAACAAGTAAACCAGCAGCATAACTTACAGCAACAAGCAAACCAGCAGAATAACTTACAGCAACAAGCAAACCAGCAGAATATACTGCAAAATCAGCAACCATATTCTATGGAGCAACATATTATTGACGGAACAACTTTCAATCAAATTGCTGCTGCTCCAAATCAAAGTGATAGGGATATTCTTTTAAAATCATATTATTAATGTGGTGCAGTACTCGTTCGTATGTAATGAAAACCACTAGTCCATTGCTCTCGTCTTAAATTCTTGAAATTATCTATAGTGCTCCCATGTCAAGTACTCTCCTTTTCATTGTTTTCGGTTCGATGGAGAATAATATCCTTTCAATTACTTAATACTGACTTTTTAATTTTTGCTCGTTTCTTTTTCACCTTTGGGGGGAGGGTACTTTAAATTATATAAAAAAATTCTAAGATAATACTGTAAGGTATATAATACTCTTCTGCTATTTCATGTTCTAATGTCTGCGACTCTAATTAAATTAACTAGTTTGAATACAATAAGTATATATAATTTCTAAAGCCTTTTAGTATATGACTTTTTTAAGATAGATAAATTAAGATTTTGCAAGAGAGTTCTTTCTTATTCAATTTCTTATATTTCAATTTCGGTTCTTAAACACATTTTTCGTCTTGAAAATCAATTCAAAAAGGAAATCATTCGCGAGCGTTACCAAATTACTTACTCAATTTATTGCTTTTAAGCCATGTAGAATTAAACTTTCGATTTAAAAGATGCAAAGATATTATGTCAAATTATTGAATTATAAATAAGTAAAAAACAAATGATATTAATATAATAGTAACTTTTTTCTATCATAGTAATCCATTATAAATCTGCACACAAGTATTCATTACGTTTAACTACAATTGCAATTAAAAACTAAACTTCAAGAGATGAATATAAATAGGCAGCATTTAAATAATAAAACATCAAACAAAGTATAAATATGACAGGGCTAAAGATGGGTCTCGAAACTTATGACGTAGTTTAGGAATATAATACATGTAATATCCTAGCTAAGGCAAAAAAGTGACGGTCACGTGATCTGAAATATGTCCGATTAATATTAGATATCAAGTATTAGTGTTAGAATTAGAGCTGAGATAAGGTTATATATTAAATTGTCTTCTCGATATTTTTTGATAGTGTGCCAAGCTAGATTTAGATATCTGTTTTTTGTATTTTGTCTTTTCTTATTTGTGCCGTATTTGTTTTGCCGGGTCGATCACAAATTTACTACATTCCTATTGGTTGCGCATAATTTTTGCGCTTTCTTATTCGTTGGATCTGACCAACATCACGTGACCGGCACTTTTTTTGCCGTGGTGCATAAAATCTAAAGTCATCAAACGTTTGTATTTTACAAAATGTATAAACTTCTTTACTAAGAAGTAAATACAAAATTTAATCCGTGAATATGCTCAGAAAAAGCCTATTCTATCATATTCACGGATTAAATTTTGTATTTACTTCTTAGTAAAGAAGTTTATACATTTTGTAAAATACAAACGTTTGATGACTTTAGATTTTATGCACCATATTAGGAATATAACCAAAACTAGTTTAGGAACATTCTTTATGACAGGGTGAAACCCGTTATAAAACCCGCGATAATTGATTAGGTCAGGTGAAATTTGCGATCGCTTGGTGAAACCCGCTTTTTATTGTCATGTCAGGTGTAGAGTTTAGAACCGGATTTAAACCGAATTCTAATATTAAAAATGAATCCGGTTCCAAACTCTAGTCAGGTGAAACTCGCGTCAGCCGTGATTAGCAAGAAACCCGCTTTTTATTAACTACAACAGTGTCACCAACAAAAATTAACGTTAAAGGCTATTTTATCGTTTGGGGTTAGAGTGAAAAACGAGACTATATGTAAAATTGCCTTCCCGACATTTTTATTATCTGTTTTCTGTATTTTTCACATTATTCGCTTTTTCATTTTCTTGTGTCAGATTTGTTTTGCCAAGTTGATCAAAAATTTGCGCATCCTTATTGGTTGCGTCATCCAGAAGGACGTTCTTATTGGTTTACGACGCTGGAGAAAACGGGTTTCATCTTACTAATCATGGCTTCACCTGACATGACCAATAAAAAGCGGGTTTTACCAAGCGATCGCGAATTTCACATGATCCAATCAATTATCGCGGGTTTCACCATGCAATTTTTCATGGATTGTTGTAACACCAAAATTCAAGTCACAATGACTAACATTCTAATGGGCAATGTAAATTACAGGTACTGGACTTAGGATGTTGTTGAAAAGTTCGTTTTTGAGTCTGCTCGACCCAAACCACTTCAGACCTGACTTCGGAGGATCGAGTCCCAATAGTCACATTATGGATCAGGTGCTAATGACGTAACCATATTAATGTTCGTTTTCAATAGAGTACGTATTCAATGAATGCTAAACAAAAGGGCGTTTGACAAATTAAGCTAGTCTTTTATTCCGTTTAACAATAATAATTATAAAATGAGCATTTTCGAAACGATTCAACAAAACCCATGCAACAAAGTTTATATTCATGACACAATTGCATTTGAAGGCTTGAACGACTATAAAAACCGATTACATACTCTTTTTCTGTTCAATATTGAACAGATGAAAAGAGCTTCAATATTCTTGAAGAATTAGTGTGAAGCGGAATTCTAGAATAGATAAATTGATTACGATTAGAATAAATCGTTACATATGTACATGTAATCCCTGCAATATTCACGTGAATAATAGCCATGTGTCACATGACGGGACACAAAACTGAGTTTTTATTAAGACTCGACTTCTGGAGTCGAGTTGGACCGAACAGGACTTTTCACATCCCTAACTGTAAACGTACACTGTACTGTAATAGGTATTGTTATGAACTCCATATGTAATACAATATATATACGTAAATCATTAAAATTAATTATACAGTACTTTTTAATTTAAAATTTAATAAAAACAGTCTAAATATTTTATAAACGCGTCATATTTATCCGAGTCGTCACTAATATATGATGAAACAATATCATTCTTCTAACTTGATTTATAATAGATAAAATAATATCACTACTGTTTTGATTCAACAAAAATGAAAGCTTTCCCCTTTTATTTGATTCTTTTGACACGCATTCAATAGGACATTTACTGTTCGTTTATGCTCTTGGAAATCTGAAAAATTAAAAATAGTATATAATATTTTAAAATGTCGTTGTTAACGAGAAAACTTACATTGTATTCGGATGTTCTATTCTCAACATCAATATCAAACATATACAGTCAAAGTCGTGGTATAGTTTACATAATCATTCCAAGCTGACTTTTACGGTGTATTAGATGCAATTTTTTCCCGTCCTTCAAAAACTCTCCTCTCTATTGCTACAGACAATAAATCATCATTTTGTCTATTTTTTTTTATCATTCTAGAGGACTTGTAGCGCTGTAAAAAGTGTTTTTCATATCATATGTTTTTCACGCCGTTTTGTAGCCAGCTATAGATAATCCATCACTTAATTTTGTTGATGTTTGGAACATACAAATTGACATAAACATTCTATATAAATTTTAATTAACGTGAAATGTAACATGAATTATATATAAATAAAATGCACCCGTCTCAGTTGGAATGTTGTGGTAAAGATTCGATTGCGTTCGAGTGGATTGGTTGTTTGTTCATATTTGTACGAGCACTAATAGGATATCACTACTGTGACTTTGTTCACCGAATGGCAGTTCACCAGTTATAACCATCCCCAAACTATAATATCCACACTTCAGTGTATGGTTTCCATTTAATACCTCCAGATTAATCTAAGAAAGTACTCAGTAAATTTCTTGATTGTATTTTTTTGTCGGACCAGTACGTTCAAAATCGGCAATGAAAGCATCAATACTATATTTGTAGGGTTGAAAAATTCCTTTTGTTCAGCAAATATGCTTCTTGTGTTAGGAGGTCAATTTGGTACAATTAATTACCAATGAAAAACAGATGAATTTACCTATTAATTGAATTCAATTCTGAAAAAGAAAACAAATTTATCCTATCAAATATTGAACATGTACATCGAAGTCGAACACGCGACATTTGTTACCAAGTAAGACGTCAATAGGCAGCGTTCGAAACTACTGAGCCAAAGTTTCCTTCGGCAAAAAATTGATTAAATTCATAAATTTAAATTGTAAAATTATTAATATCAACAATACTATCGGTACGATGAAGCCAATTTTTAGTTTTTAGAAAACTGTATATGAACTATAATTTATTGAATTAAAATTTGTCTATATTACTAGCATTAAGCCCCATTCAAATTCTTCAATTCCACGATTAGTTACAATCCATTCTTAAGAAAATGTCTTTCTGCAAAAATCACATCACCAGAATTCTCTAATACTATTGAATATCCATACGAGAACTTTAAATCCTTAATTACTAACACCTAATAGTGATAGTAAGTAAAAAATTTTATCATACGATAACGATCATTCATGTACATGTACTGTATCGATTTGTTGATTTCAGGGTGTACTGTGCCTTGTGCAGCTCGATATTATTCGCGTCTATTATTCTAATTTATTGATGAATGAATTCTTTTTAACAGGCAGGTGTTTATATAAATATTGTGTTGATATATTAATAAACACATAGCAAGTAATGACGAAACGTAAACAAGCAACAAAAATAACATTATTGCTTTTTTTGTTATGTAAGGTATCAGTATACGTAAATTTTAGAAAGGATAACTTTATATCAACGAAATAATTAAAGTATATGCGCAAGAGAAGTTGATAAACAATAGAAACTGCTTTTGGTCGCTTTAACTTGAAGCACAGTTAATGATCTCTAACGCTAATTTTTTTTAGACATTTACAAATAAAATTTTTAGCGGTAGTATTGTCAATTTAATTGTAAAGTATAATGGTTACCATTTTCTTCTAAAAAGAGCAGCGTTCTTCTTTTACCTGTTTGTGCCATCAAAGAAAAACCAACGTTAAATAGTGATTTTACCTATACAAACTGAAAATCTAGAGCCTAAATATTTTTAATTAATATCGATGTGAAAGTTATATTTAGAAATAAAAATAGCTGTTACCGTAGTAAACTGCCATGAATAAGCACCACTTTTTGGGATCTAAAAAACGGGGCACTTGTTTCTGGACATTTCCTCACAATTAAAATTATCGCCATTTAGAATTTTAAATTTAGTAGTGCTTACTCGCTGTTGTTCATCGTTTTAATATTTTTAGATTTAAATAAGGTGGTGCTTATTCACAGCGGTTTATGGCAGTTGGAATTGATATTGATTTTATAATAAAGATTCGACTGATGTAAATAAATGGATTTCTTGTTTTTTGTTCATCTTTGTAGGAACGCTTTTCAGCTCCTCATCACCTATTTTCTGCTTTTCTAATTTATGACACTCATTAATTTCTTCGCGTGTCTTAGGAAGTTCTAAAGAGCTGTAGAACTGAAAATCCAAAGTATTCCCTTCTGAATGAAATAGTCGATATATTTGATTGAGTAGATAAAGTCCCAAAGTTCCTCAGCAGTTGGTCCATTTTCTGGAATAGGATCACAACATTTTTCAATAATAAATTTACACATTACATGAACATAGACGTACATGTATTTAGTAACTTAGGTCGCACTCCATTATAGATGTCGTATTCATGATACGTACGTATATATGTCATGACTTCGCTCACCAAATGGTCGTTCAACAGTTAAAATATCATCCAAAAACTAATATCGACAGACATATTACGTTAATGACTTCTATTTTGTGTGTATTGTATAAATAGCTAATAATTAGAATCAATAAAATACTAAAATTGACATCGTATTTTTTGTTTTGTAAGATATACTCTAAATACGTACACATAAATTTTATAAAGAATAACTTTTATATTAATAAATAAATAAATTTGGATAAAAATTAATAGTTAAATAATAAAAAATATGCGTACAATATGCACAAAGAAGTTAACTAAAGTAATTACTATTTCTTTTAAAACGAGTAGCATTATTCTTTATTTGGTTGGAAGTATTTCATTATGAATTTGTAGTTTTTCTTGTAAAATACTCGATATATCTTCATTCTCTTTGATTTGTTATACTAAAATTGAATCGTTTAAAGTATACAAACTGATACTCGTAGAACTTAAAATTCGATATACTTTTAAGTAAGATGAAATGTCGACATGATTTATATTCAGTACCTGTAATTAAAATTCTAGTTTAAACTCGCCTTGAGTTTGCACAATTCTGATTTAAAATAATATTTGTTTTCATATAATTAGTTTAAGATACTCTTTAACCTCATGTGCTTTAAGATATTCTAAAAGCTGTAATACTGAAAATGCAAAGTACAATATTCAATTTCCACTTATCAAGGTCATTGGATTGTCGATCTGTAGGAATCCCAGCACTGTTCAATACTATGCGGAAATATTATTTAATATCGTGGATCGTACGTACTCCGTTATAGATGTCTAATATGAGATGACTTCTCTCATTAAATGCTCGTTCATCTGTGACCACCTCGTACGTAATCATTCCAAATATCTGCAACATTAGTGTATGGATCTCCGCGAGACACCTCTGGATCAAATAAGGAGGAACTCCACAAATTTCTTTGATTAGATTCACAAGATTCTGTGTTAAAGCACAACGACCAAAAGCGGTTTACGCATATCGATATCGATATACAGACAAACCTACCTAAATGCACACTCTATAAATGCATGCCCTCTCTAAAACACAGCATGGCTGGGTCCCAGCTCATAAGAGCCTTATATATTTTTCCCTCTATAAATGCACACCTCCTCTAAATGCACGCTTTACTATGGTCCCAAGGGGGGTGCATTTAGGGAGATTTGTCTGTACATGTATTTATTAACATTAAAATTTATTCAGTTTACCGTACTTCCTTATGTATATTTAGAATACTGTGCCCCCAATAAGTATCGCCCGATTTATAGTAAAATACATATAAAAATTTTTTGTTAATGTTATTATTAAAACAATTCTTTCATTTTAAAAGTTCCATAAGATGTAAATTTAGAAATAATTACTAGATATATATATGTGTATCATGCGTTGGAATCGAATGCTGTGTTGATTCAAATTAATTCATAATTTGTTAGGGTAGGGTTAAAGAGTTAGGATTATCGTTATGTCAACCTTTAGTAGCGGCAGTTTAGATTTTTAATTTGATATCTAATTCCAAATCAACCCAAGTTTGATTTGAATCAACTTATTCGATTCCAACTCATGACATACATATACACTGACCTACGATAAATCACCGTGCATATGCATTATTCTTTATCGAGTAACGTTTTACTGTCTCTTTTCTTCTGATTTTTACATTATTTCGATCTTTTATTTGTATATTAAAAACACTCTCTATTCACTCTTCTTTCTATTCATAATGTCCTTACCACGAAAAGAAATATCGTGAACAAATCATTGATGCACATCATATGGAGAGCAATGCTTCAGCTATCGCCTCTACTCTTGCTATCCCAAAGCAAACAGTATGTGATACAATTAATCGGTTTAAGCAAAGAGGTTCTCCACGTCTGTAAAACACACTGAAATAATGAACGAAGTTTAAAACGTATTGCAAAAAAAGATCGCAAAGCTTTGCTTATAAATTACCAATCAGCGAAATGCATATATTAATACATTAATTCACTCTAATACCACTCGTAATTACATGAAATTACTATCATTGAATCTCACTATGCAAATCATAAACCTTTTTTAACTACTCAAATAAAAAAAATTGTTTACAATGGTGCAAAGAAAAGAAAAACTGGAATGATGAATGGCACCAAATTGTATGGTCAAATGAATCACGATTTCCCTTTCCATTCAGACGGACGTACAAGAGTGTGGCGAAAATCTTTTAAAAATGGTTGTGCTGTTCCAACAATAAATTTTGTAATGATTTGGATGGGATGGAGTTGGAGGTTAATATCAATCTCGATTCTGACAGTTATGTTAATTTCCTTTCCAAATATTTGATTCCTTGGATGAGTAATCATTCTTATACAACTTTTCAACAAGAAGGTGCTTCCTGTCATATTTCGCATTATACTCGTTGGTGGATACAAACACACAGTATTCTGGTTTTAGAATGGGCTGCCAAAGTCCCAAGTTAAATCCAATTGAGCATATACGGGAACATTTAGATCACAAAATTAAAAAGGGCACCTCTTCCGACCTCAGATTTAATTGAGGTATTGAAGGAGAAATGGCACAAAGTACCTTTGGATGTTGTACACAATTTAATTTCCAGTATGCCGCGACGAGTTGCAGCTGTTATCAAAGCTAAGGATCCATATATTATTAGATTATTAATATTTTTAGACAAATATTATTTTATAACTTTTTCTCTTTCTATTCATATCGTTATTAAGTAAAGCTTAGTTTAAATAAAAATAATACCTTTTAAAATCAGAAATTTTGCTAATAATGCGCGGTATATCGATATAACGATAATTGAAATTTTCAATTTTCATGTCGATCAATATGTTTTATTACATGTACATGTATAATGTATAATTTTGGACCGGGGGCGATACGTTTTGGGATACTGGTATAACAACATACGTACAGTGCTTTACATTCATTTTCGTTTATCACGTACGTTTGCGAAACTGTCATCATTTACTTACTACGTATGTCTATTTATATAGAAATTTCGACATTAAAGTAAAATTCTGTGTACTGTTAATAATGATAATATTATACTCATTAATGTTATAGAAAATTATAATTTGTTATAGTCAGACTAATTTCGCTTTCGGACTGATACATATTCTAACGATAATAATAATTTAACGGCTACAACCCTTCTTGCGAATTCGTACCTAGTCTTAATGAATGAATGTTAATTTCCCAAAGAATATTTTTACCGTTACCGTTTATTCGTATCAATTATTTTGAATCTTAGTAAATTTCTCAATGTCAGTATCGGTATACGTACGTACGTACCGATACGTACATACGTAACCTTATAGAGATCGACAAGTCATTGAAATTAAGATTATTACCTAAATTGTGCTTTTATGAGCATTTTTAGAAAAACTCCATCGAATGTTTGCTTTTCTGTTATAAACTAATGAAACTTGCCGTCAAAAGTAAATTAATGAATTTATTTTATAAAGTATTGAATTGGGTCGATCAAAAAATTCCATGGCGAGAAACAGAACCGAAATTTTTACATTCAACTAAAATAATTTTTCAAGGATTACTTTATATTTTATGCACAATTTACATGGTGTCACTTGTTAACCGTATAAAAAATGATAAACCATTAATACAACGTTATAGAGAATATCCAGAGTCAATATCCTTTCCTGGTAATCATTTTTATTGTTTATTATTCATTTTCACTTGCAGCGGTAGATTTATTTAACACGTATAAACTTTTCTATAGTATTCTATTTTCAATTCGATTATGATTTTAATATTACATGCGAGCTGGCAATTTATAGAAATAATGGTAAATATTATCTGGATTTATTATTCGCCATTATCAATTATGAGCTTGCTTTATCCTAGTAAAACATTATTGCTATTTATAGGTTTACCTTATATATACAAACCTTGTAATGAGGATACTTTCAAAACAGTACATATAAAGAATACCACTATAGTTTTGTTTGAAAAAAACTTGACGTTTAATACAAACAGCGATATTGGCATTGACGAATTAAAAATGTGGGTGAATATTACTGATCAACGCTGGAATCTTAATCTAAATACGGAAAATGCCGAACTTTTAGTAGGAATTTGTGATCAATGTAAGTGGAATTATTTATCTTTACACTCGATTAAACATGTAACATGAGATATTAAATTATTATTTTTTTTAGCCCAATACAATGATCAGTCATTGAGTGACTTGGCAGAATTCACCCGATTTGAGCTTTATCTAAGAAACTATTGGGTTGTTAGTGTTGGTGAATCTAATTACCTTGCTTTTCGTCGTAGTAAGAATGAAACTATTCTTCCAAATTGGAAAAGTATTTTTGGTATTTATCCAGATTATCATAACGAATATTTTGTGACGACAGATTATCGTAAGTTTTGCTCTCTGTTTTGCTCTTTATTTAATCCATCGTAAATGTCTACTTACATAAGATTGACTCTATTATTGTTATTATTTTTTAAGAAACCTCTTTTAATTCAGCAGTAAATTTTAACGGGACTTATGCATATATTTCTCTCACATTACGCTCAACAGAAGTTGAAGTCCTTCATGAAATAAAAGAAAAAACTGTAAATATGAAAACTACAATTGGAATACCCATTTGTTCAGATATTAATTTTTGACTTTCTAAAAAATAGATCCTATCACTCTTTAGTACACTCGGTGGAATTGTGACTTTTGGGATGACTCTTTATACTATAATGTTTGGTAATTATCGTTTTGACTTCGAATTTATATAGTTACAAGATTTCATACTTTAGAATATTCTATTAATAGGAAGAGGAAATTTATGGCCATTTGGGTGTGCACAAAAACTTCCATGCATCAAAAGAAAAATAAGAAATGAAATGAAAAGAGTTTTTGGCTCAGAATTACCGTTTTCACCAAAGACTTTAATTTCCTTACCTCCAAACGAATCAAATGTCACTGTCGAAGAATCGTTATTGAACACCCAAAGACAACTTGACCAATTAATTCAATATACTCATTCTCTACAACGACGCCAAATGAATTTAGAATTATTCTTGAAAGATTACATAATCGATGTTGGCTATCTTCGATCAATTGATTCGCTAAACGAGTCGTCATTTCACGATACTCAGATCCAGATGACCGAACCATCGTTAAATCTATCTTTAAAAAATAACGAAATTCAGGTGAATGATGATGAAGGGATAATCAATGATGATGCAGGCATAGTAATAATCAATGATGATGAAAAAATGAAATAATAATAAAATAAACCATTTTATAAATGTGTACATGTTAATGCAAATTTCAGATACATTTCCCTCAAATTAGTATTTGAACTCGATACTTATGGGTATGTTTTGAAAATTATAAAAAATTAAGTGTTACTGAAATTTATTAGCTGATAGCTTTCAGTATCACTTTCTATAGATGGACCAGACACCACCTATATAAAAACATATATCTGATTATCCAAACAATCCGTACAGCGTAAAATAAGAATGCAATACGTAATAAGAGACATAAATAATCTAAAAATATTATTGTAAAGTGAATTATAATAAATAAAATGTATCATTTAAAGCAAATTTTTGCAATGGCATAATAGTACCATTACACGAGTTATTCTGTCATACGAAATTACATTATACATGTACATGTAATTAGGAAATTTTTAGGTGTCATAAATTCACGTGTAAATGGTCATGTGATTATGAACTGAGCACAGATTATATTTATTATTATTAATAATATCTTGAGTATTTAGAGATTTAGAAGGAAAGTATTCCGAGAAGTGATTAGAAATATCACTTGAAGGCGTTCTTGATTTTGATTTTGTCTTGATAGTGAGAGTTGAGGAATACATGGTGATTGGGAATGCATAATAATTTGAGGATATGAAAATGATCTTGAAATCTATTTTTTAATAAAAATACAAGATAATTAAATTTAATTGAACAATTTATGTGTAGTTTCTTTATTAAAGTATCATTTAAAGAGAGAGAAAAAGTGTTTTACGGAAGAGAATGAAATTAGTACTACATATTCCTTTTTTGTATTATGAATAATAATTCCAATGAAGACCAAAAGCTTCATAATTTAGCTATACTAGTTCCTTTAAACTTTGATGATATTCCTCATGAAGACTTTGACTACTTTCCTGATAGTGGCATACACATCAATATTGCAAGCATAAAGTGGAAAATTATGATGAAGATATTTTTATTAATTATAAATTTATAAGTTATATTAATTATTGCTCTTTAGGCATCTCTTTTATTTTAGTACGCCAGTTCATAAACTTAGAATTTTTATGATCTCATGCTGCATATTCTGTTGGTCGCCTAACCAGTTACTTTATCAAAACTATCTTTTGCAAGATATTCAACATTAGTGAATTTTTAAAAGGTTTGAACATTTGCGCATTCTTATATCAAATGGTCGATATTTTTATTTTCAGCAAACGAACAGCGCTTATTCTTTGATACTTAGGACACATACTGCAACTATAGGCACAAATTACAATTGAATATTCATTTGTAGCTGAATTGTATTAGAAAACAAAAGCCATTTGCTTACGCTTATCTTTACTCGCTCTGGATTGTGTAGTGACTTGAACGCAACTTCCCTTTCATATTTAGTTTATTTCTTCATAACCCTCACTTTACTGCTTTATACAAAGATGATACTTTATAAATTGTTCAAAAACTTCATATTCAACAACAGTGAATCTTTAAAAAAGGATCCCTTAAAATTCTTTCACTTATATCCATGAATCTTCATGCACTCTTTTATTAGTCAGTTTATATCTTTATTTTCGCTAGAGAATCAGCTTTGTGATATAGAGAACATCCTATGCAGTATTTATTTTTTGACAACAAGTACATTTACTAAAATCATGAGTATTGTCATCACAGTAGTTAATAATATGTGTATTCAAGTAAATGAAGAAAATTTCGCAAACAGTATAAGTATGTAATTGAAAGTAATAAAAATGATATAATTACATTTTTTGTTATGCAAGGTCGTTTATACTTTAAATACATATAAAGAACTGCTTTTAGAAACAATAACTTAATTTTTATAAATAATAAAAATATATATGTAAACACAAAGAAATCGATAAACAATAGAAATAGTTTTTGGTCGTTGTGCTTCGAAACATAGCGATTTTTGACACTAAAAAATTAAGTTTAACATTGATTAATAAAGTGTAGGTTAATACTAATACTTACCAGTTTCATCAAATACCGAGCATGATATCGGAAGTGTTTCATCATTAAGTTGTAGTTGTTCTTGAAAGAAACTCAAAATATTTTCATTCTCATTATTTTCATCTGCAATTCAAAAGAAAAAATTAGTAATGAATTCAATAAATAAATAAAACAAGCGATTTTACCTTCGTGTGGGAAGAACAAACTGACACATGTAGAGCCTAAACATTCGATATGAATTTTTTATTAACGTGAAATGATAATATGATTTGTATTTCGTAATAGAAAGTACCTGTCTTAGTCGGAATTGAAATTAATTTTGTGGTAAAGATTCGACTGGTATAAACTGCATCTAAGTGGATTTCTTATTTTTCGTTCATATTTGTAGGAACGCTTTTCATCTCCTCATCAAGCTCTTTTATTTTCTGTCTTTCTAATTCAAGACACTCCTTAATTTCTTCATATTCTAAAGAGCTGTAGTACTGGAAATGGAAATGCAAAATATTCAACTCTGTCGCATATACATCTAAAATGGAGTTGATAAAGTCTTCAAGTTCCTTAGCTGTAGATCTGTTTTCTGGAATAGGATCCCAACATTTTCAATAATAAAATTGCACCACCCGGGAATGCTATTTGATATCGTAGGTCGTACCCCTTCGTAGATATTATGTACGAGAAATGCGTCATGACTTCGTTCACCAAAATGGTCGTTCACCTGTGACAATCTCGTACGTAATCATCCCCAAACTATAAATATCTGCGGTTTTAGTGTATGGCTTTCTGTTTAGTACCTCTGGACTCATATAAGGAAGTACTCCGCAAATTTTTTGATTGTATTTTTCTATATCTGCTGGTTTGGTAAGTCCAAAATCAGCGATTTGAGCTGTTTTGAAGAATACCAATATATTTCCAGGGTGAAAGTCACGATGCACAAATTTCTCATTATAAATTCTATAACAATATTAGTTAAATATTTTAATTTATCTTTCCAAGTTAATTTTTTGGTAGTTAGAATTCATATATATATATTTGCGTAGATCACCATTTGCATCAGTCATCACTATCGAGTATTCACTTGTAGCTGGGGTTTTAGTTATCCCATAATAAGTAATATAGCCATCAGTGCACTTTAGAGCAGTCTGAATCTAATTTTGAAAGTTATTATATTGAAAAACAAAAAAAGCGATATGCTTACACTTTAAAAGGTGTTCATTTTTAACTCGTTTATAAACTCGGATGTAATTTTGTTTGAATTGTATAATGTTTTCAACACAACTCGACATTCTAAATCGGGTAAATTTATTTCTACATGATCCTAGTTTTTCATTGGTCCATCCAACCACCATGCTTTATAAATTGATCCAAACCCTCCTTTTGCAAGATATCGATATTCAACGTTGGTAAATCTGTCGAAAGGGATCCATTCAAAAGTTGTTTTATATTCAATTTTATTGCATTCATTTATTAGACTGTCGATGTCTTTATTTCTGCTTTCAGCTTTATAAATTCGTTTTTGATATTTATAACACTCATCGCAGTGATAATTTTTTTGCCATTTGGTACATTTACTACAATCATGAGTATTGTGAACACTCTTTACAGTAGGAATCATTTCGACATAAAACACAATTACAATCATGAGTATTCGAACTTTCAGATGCCATCTTTGAGTTTATTTTATTAGTGTTTGTCACTTCCGTGTGTAAATATATCCAATAAATGAATGTTGACGTAATGTGTACGCATGTCGTTTTTCATGTGAAATTCTTATCGCTAGCTATCGTTATCGTTATGGTTATCGTTATAAATAAACTAATTGTACGACATAGGGATAAGAATCGATTCTGAGAATCGATTAATTTTATATATATATATATATAGAATCGAGGAAATCGATTCCTATCCCTATGGTGCATAACATCTAAAGTCATCAAACGTTTGCGTTTTATAAAATGTATAAACATCTTTACTAAGAAGTAAATATAAAATTTAATCCGTGAATATGCTCAGAAAGGGCCTATTCTATCATATTCACGGATTAAATTTTGTATTTGCTTCTTTGTAAAGATGTTTATACATTTTGTAAAATACAAACGTTTGATGACTTTAGATGTTATGCACCATAGTACGACAACACCATTACATATTACGTAAACATGTTGTCACATGGCTGTACTACCAAATATGATAACGGTGCCAGCCCAGACCTACTACGTAAAGTCTGAAGCATCGCCACAAACCGGATACAAATAATGCAGAAATGTCGATGAGGCAGTTCTACATATAACCTTAACTTTAATCCTAACCTTGACCCTGACCTTTAAACCAACTTTAATGTTAATTAACATCACAGTAGAATTTTTCTGGGTGCTCTTATTACATGTAGTGCGATTAGGGTAGAGGTTATTACGCAAGCATAAAACACTATCATTTATAGTAGCATTTCACAAGGAATATTTTTTGTTGACAAATTCATAGTCAAAATTTTTGAGTCAGGAGAGATTTTCAAATACAAGACATTTGCTTT